AAACGACAGACACTATATTATATCTAAATTGACACTATCTCATGTATTATTTTTATTATATTATCAAATGAAATTGCAATTGAATTGAAATTAAACTGTAGTGTATACAAAATAAACTGAATAACAATTTCACATATTTTATTGTATATTATCTAGTGAAACTATAATTATATCAAAATGATACTGTAATTGTGTTGAAATAAAACTATAGTGCATGTTTGATGTCTGGACCATAATGCATTGTGAACCGCAACGTATAATTTGCCGAACAACACAGAGTTAGGTAGTGAGATGTAGTATGCTGATCCTCAAACGCAACAAATGTCATCATGGATCTTTTTTGGATTCAAAATGAAATTGGGTGGCAAAAATGGATTACTAGCACGAAATAAAGGTAAACACATTTAAATCATTTCTAAACTTATAAATGATGATCCAAGTAGGAATAAAATGCAAATTATACCATGGATTAAGATTCACCATATATTGTAGGCCTTAGTTCAAAATGACCTTCAAATTATGTGCTTGTTATTAACATATTATGTGTGTGCAGATAATAGATTATATGCTTGTAAATAAATTGAAGACATATAATATGTTAAATATATGCACATAATATGTAGATAACATATGTGTTAATTGCATACACAATTTTTGAACCAGAGTTCATTATGCAAGGTGAATTGTGGCCCATGGTATAACAATTGGGAATAAAACCTTCATTGCTAGTATAAATTTGGGTAGCTTGATTTGCTATTCTCTAGTGCACTATCTTTATCCCTCTTCCTCTCGTCTCTTAAATTAGAATAGTATTAGATGTGATGGGATATGCACCCCGGAGACCACACGGCGACGACGATTGGTCAACCGGTGACGGAGATTACCGCTGAGAAGAAGAAGGGATATGTAGACCTAAAATGGTTAATACCGATCTTGCTAGAATCATCAATTCCGAACGAGCCGTTTCCATTAATCAAGCCGACTCCAAGGACTCGAGGGAAGAAGGCCACTAGGAACCGGTGGGGATAAGTAAGGGAGACGTCCGAGATCGAGTGACATAAGGAGTCGGCGGTGAGGGGTCAAAAGATGAAGAGTCTTAAGGATACCGTTGAGATCAATTAAAACTCGTGATTAATGGAGAATTAAGCAGCCATTAAGAGCCAAGTCGTGGGGAAAATAGTGGCCATCCATGATTAATACGCATTTAAAAGCATTTAATACTCATTCTTAGCTCATTAATTGTATTCCGTTGTGTCAAGAGTCCGGGGGTCACTCGAACTCCTATAAAAAGCCTCTCAAGTAACCGGGTTAAGCTTTCTAATATACACAAGAATTTCTGATAAAGCATAGCTCTTATTTCTCATCTTTTCCGGTTGTGTTGGACCCCAGTAGGCTTTCCAAAAGTCGATCTAGAACCCAAGAATAGGAGTGATATTATATGTTATTTTACATGTGTACTTATTGTATTGTAATATATATATATATATATATATATATATATATATATATATATATATATATATATATATTCGTACTCGAAAAAAAAAAAAAAAAAAAAAAAAAAAGAGAAAGAGTGCTCAAAATAATTCAGGTGGTTTACCAGCACTTTGTGTGGTGCGACAAATTCGGGTGGTCTACTAGCCCTTTATATGGTACAATAAAATTGGGTGGTCTGCTAGCCCCTCAAGTGGTACGAAAAATTTGGGTATCGACCAACCCTCTAAATGGTACTGTTAATCTTGGGTTTCTGCCAGTCCTTTAAATGGTACAATTGAGCTTGGGTCTTGACCAGCCCTTTAAATGATACAATTTAGCTTGGGTGTCGGCTAGCCCCTAAATGGTGCAGTAAATCTGAGTAGTCAGGCACTCCTTGGACGCGAGACAGTTGGCTGATTTTTACTAGTCTTCTTTGAATCCAAGCAGGTTTGAGAACGTGAAGCGAGATACTGAGGGACTACCGCTTAGAAGTAGGAAGAAGTCAACTAACTTAGGATAACCACCCTAACTGGTCCAGAACATACCCCTTCGAGGGGACGTATCTTGTGCAGATGCTTTTTATTTAATTAATGAATTAATATCACAGATTCTGCAAGTAGTTAGTCTAAGTAGTTGGCCATAGAAATATGGCAAGAAAAAAGAGTCGGTACTTAATCATCTCGCACCTCCATGTAAAAGGAGTTAGTGCATAATCATCTCGCACATCCATGTAAAACGAGTCGGTAAAATATTAGGTGTTATGGTTGGATGGAGGCTTATAAAAGGAGTCAGAACTCAGTCAATCGCGCCTCCTTGTAAAATGAGTCGAGATAATATTGGGGGTTTGGGATTGGTTGGAGACCTGTAAAAGGAGTTGACGCTTAGTCAATCACGCTTCTTTGTAAAAGGAGTCGGGAAAAAATGTTAGTGTTAGGGTTGGCTGGACTCTGGAGGCCTTAAAAGGAGTTGACACTCAGTTAACCGTACCTCCTTGTAAAAGGAGTTGGTAAAATTATGTGTTTGTGGTTGGCTGGAGGCCTGTAAATGGCTTTGTAAAAGGACTCATCAAATTTTGATTCGTAATTCTACTATTGAGTTGATTTTTCAGACGCGACAATGTACTTTCATGTGCCATGCTTCGCGAGACACAGGAAAGTGAGGGGCTGATGATGGATAGCCAACATGCGTACCCAGTCGGTACCACTTAGCAAGCAGTCGGGCAGGGCACTCATGCTCGGTAGTCAGCACTCAGGACGTGACCAGTCAGTCCTAGCTCCCTAATTATCCTTCCATAACCTCTAATCTCATTAATTGTAACTTCCCATTGATTATCCATAAATTCCATTGGTTACACATGATACGTGTATAGTATTAGTGGGATGGAATGTGTAGGTTGTGAAGTCTAAACGAGGATTGTGGAGAAGTGTAACCACCTAGTGTCAAACTCAAGGATGGCAAATCGGAGTGAATAGAGTGCAAGACAATTCGTTGTCACAATGTATTGACAAGAGGGTTAGGTGCAAGCTAAGAACATGGAAGAGAGCATGTATAATGGTGGAGAGAAGAATGAACAAGGAATGCGAATGAAAAAGCTACAAACAAGTAGAAAATAGGAATTGGATATATATGACTTGTGTTCATGCATCTAATGGTCTAAGGTAGACAAGTAAGGAGGCAATTGCAAGACTATCCTAAGGAATAACTAATGGCACAAACACTAGGCTACGTAGAACCTAGTCTCTCCTTTCCTAAGTCGGTGGAGGCATTCTATCAAACACGTAATGGGCGGTCTACCTTCTCCTCTCGGGCCTTGCCCTCACGGATCGAAGGACGGTGATTGGGATGAGTAGGACTAATGGAAGCTTAATCTCTTGTTACTTCCACACTCCCTTACTCCTCTCCCATAGGGGCCCTTTATGAAGAGAGAATCACTATGCACTCATCCACAACCTAGGTATTCTAGGTCAAGCAATCACATCGCGCAACTCATCAATCAAACAATACAAAGCATAGATGCATACAACACAAGGCAATCATCCAATTCCTAAGAAAACCTAGCATCATGAATTAGGATTACAATCAAGTAATTCAAGATGAGCAAAGATGAACAATGGAATGGAAAGCTTAAAAGATGAATTGAAAGATGAAATAGAGAATTTACCAAGCTTGAATCCTCAATTGCAAACTTCTTACATGAAATTGAAGATCTAACCTCTAATCTAAGCCTATGTACATGAACCCTAGTCTAAAGAGCTCTGCAAATGCAGAGAATGTAAAGTGGAAAATGAAAAAGGAATTTCTAAATCAAAATCTCGCGTTGCCCTTTTAATTTCGCGATTCAGCTCTGGCCCGCGTACGAGTGTACGTATGCACGTACGCGTGTGCGTACGTCCACCTAATTCCTCTCCAATGCGCGTTGGTTCCTTGAGTTGAACTTTCTGGAATCGCCCAACGCGCGTTGGACACTCGTGGGTGGCCTCCGGACGCTTTTCTCCCTTGCACTAGTCTCCGATTTTTCGCGATTTGATCCATACGCCCCTGGTTATGCTCAAAGCCTTCAAAAGTACTTGAATGAACACAGGTATAGGCATTTACAGCAGATTAGCATTCTAATAGCATTTATAGCATGAATCATTCACAAATAACCTTACTTAGGCACAATCAACCCCTAAATTGACCCTCAAATAATGTGTTCTTTGGCACTTATCAACACATTAAATATTCTTTCCAAAAGGTTGAATCCCCAACCCCAAGGGCCCCCTACACCCCGGCCCGACAGAGCATCTGGGAGGATGTAAATCATGGTAACTCAGCTGAACCACAGAGGCTAGAAATTCGCTTACTTCGCACAAGGAACCCTCCTCACTTTGAGAGGTTGCTCCCACACTGCCGTTGGTGAGACTCGATTCTTGACCATTCTTCCCAAATTTTACCCTTATGACCAACTGAGTTGCCCATGCAGACACACATTAAATATATAATTACTATAGGGAGCCTACACTACTCATTCTACTACTATAAAAGCTAGAATCAAGAATAACAAAAGGGGGAACGGGGGCGGGGGGGGGGGGGGGTGGGGTGTGGGGTGGAAAGGGATAGCCAATCGGCATTTTCTCTATAGATAAGCACTACATGAGTCCGCGGTACATGTACACAAATAACCTACAAAGATAGTGAAATTTTGCTTGTCACCGCCCAAAAAGGTCCGTAGTTTTTAACTTTCGATTTCTACATTAAAATTAACTTTCTTATTTTTTTTTCCTCTTGATTATTTATCTTTCATGGATTCAGTCGGTTATGTTGGCCTGCCGAGTGACTACCCCTGGTCATGAAACCAACATTCATTTTTGTAGAAAATATAAATTTATGCTTAATATATAGGATATATATTGACGATTATAATATTGAAAATATTATATATATATTAATACATCCATTAAACTATTCATCTAAAAAGGAGCTACTTTCCTCTTCTTCTTTTTTTTTTTTTTTTTTTTTTTTTTTTTTTTTTTTTTTGTCTTTAATTTATGATGATATATATGAACACTGAGTCAAGTAACACTAATTGGTCCCAACAACGTGGAAGTGGAAGATGGCTTAGGTTTATCCACATCTTTTGGAGCACCTAGTGCCAGCCCCAAGTCAAGTGCCTCTGCAGAATGGTGATGATTTGATGAAGTCTTGCATTTAACTTGATCACCATCATCATTAATAGTTGTCATCATCATCACCCTCATCTCTTGATCATCATCTCCAAATGAATTGAGGTCTATCAACGAATGCACATTTTCTTGATCATCTTCATGGTTTGCTTTGTGGTTATGGCTCCTTACCTATATCATATCATTAAAAATCCCAAATTATGGCCGAAGACATTGTTACCATAGATTTTTTTATTTTTTTTTTAAACCAACAAAACCAATGACATCCTTATCTAGTGGCATATATTGTTGGTGTTGGTGAAAAAGTAGATACACAAAAATTAATAATTTTGAAAATATATAAATATATATAATTCAAACACAATAGGATTTATAATTTACAAAATAATCCCAATAATAAAACTAGTACATGAGCGATGTCATGTGGATCACACACACTTTCAGGGAATTAAAGTTACACATAATGTGAAAGAGAGCCTCTATGCTATACAATTCAATATACCTTTAAAAGGCTCTTGTATATATAGTGGTGCAAACCCACTTCCCAAACCAATGTGGGACAAAGGCTACTTTAAAGCCTTTTCACCTCCATTTTCTAACTCAAATGGAACAAATTTAAGAATTAATTTCTCATTCACCGATTATCTATTTTGAACGTACAATATATCAATCTCTTCATCTCACAGCGAAGAACCCGAATCCACTTTGACCTGACCTAAATCGGAAGTGGACCCCACATATATTTGTACCACAGAATAGACACTTTCTATGCCACACACACACACACACACACATGTATATGTATATGTATTTATATTTACATATATACATATATATATAGATATATACATTTTGTAAAAATTAGACGGATCATATCAAATTTTTTAAAAAATACAGTGATATTTTTGTAAATATGTACTACTAACTTTACATTGCAACTTGTAACACAGTATGTATTATAAGAATGCAAATTTAGTTGTTACAAAGTTGCAAATTTAGTTGTTACAAAGTACTTTTCTGGATAATGTTTTAAAATCAGTAAAAAAACTAAATTTTAAACCTAAATCATAAATACTAAACCCCTAGTAATAAAAAGTGAACCCGTAAGCAAAATAAAACCAAAAAAAACTTAGTCACAAACTCTAAAATCCAAACACTAATGGGACGTTTGGTTCGCGGAATAGGCCTGGAATGTCATAGCATTCCCAGTAATAGGTATATTCTTTTGTTTGGTAAAATTTTTTATTCCCAAGAACAATGTAGGGGGAATGGCTCGTTCCCCCTACAAGGGGAATATCTATTACTAGGGCCCCCCTTGGTATTAACCTATTCCTGAGTTCTAAGGAATATTTTTTATATTTTATTTTCTATTTTACCCTTTCTCTCTTTCTCTCTGTCGTTGCATTTCTTTCGACGCTTCAGATTCTATATCCGAACAGTCAGAACTGGATCGAGGTTGTTGATTCCCTGCCATAGCAACAGACTCAGGCAGTGCCGATGAGACTACCGGTATAGAAACATCTCCTCCAGTTGCCACTGCGTCCTCTCGTCGGTCAACAAGTTTATCGCCAGTTGCAGCGACAACCACCCTGGATGGACATGAAACCATGGCCAAGTCGAGACCGCCACTACCTACCCATCCTCTGTTCGCAGGACGGTGACCGGCTGAGTGTTAAATCCCGAAAACCCCCGATCATCAATTTGAGAAGCGGCAGGTGGTCTATGCGCATCCCTAACATCATCTAGACCTTCAAGTCCTCCCTGCATTGACCTGGACGCCGACAACACCTCCATTGACGAAGGTGCGATCAAATTGTCGGACAGCACTAGAGCCCTTCGATCGACAATCCGGTCATTGGAGAACGACCTCGACGCATCCCCAACTCCAACCATGCCCTCCGATCGTTCATGCAACGGCCCAGTCGCCAGCAAAGTCGCCAATGATGAAGTTTCATCTAGATTGTCGAAAACCGCAAATGACCTCCGATCTTGATTCCGATCAGTAGCGAATGGACTAAACACCTCCCTGACTTCATCCCCTCCACCTAATCGTTGATCAGCCGGTTGGATTGCCGGCAAAGGAGCGGGAGATGAAGACGTAGGGTTTTTGCGAATCGTCTCTCTTGTCGTCCGATCTTCAGATAGCAGATTGCAATGATCATCAGACGGCAAGATGAGGATTTCAAATGCTCTCGGAAGACCGTCACCAGCCTGTAGATGCTTAATTGTCAACTGGGACAATGTGCATCCCTTTTGATGTACAATTGCCTCCATCATCATCGCCTTGTCGGGGAACAACCACATTCTGATTTGTTTGTAGAAAGGGACAAAAATCCTAATAATAATAATCATAATAATATTATATTTTTTGTATAAGGATATTTATGTCTTTTACACATATATTCTATTTCTATTTCTTAAATCAACCAAACACTGGAATAACATTCTTATCTATTCCTTTACCGAACTAAACAATAGAATACAATTTCTATTCTATTTCTTACCTATTCCATTCCCTCAAAATTCATTCCGCGAACCAAACATGCTGTAAACGCATTGCACTTTTGCATTTTACAAAAGTCCAATTTTTAATACTAAAACTGTACTTAGTAAAATTGAAACATGTGCTCCATCTCAACTAAAAGCCTAAGCTGATAGTTGGATTGCACGTTAATGGCTATATGCTCACCGTTGTCGCTTACGAGTGGCATTGAGATTCGAACGCCCCTCAGGTGTACGGTGGATTCCAACCAACACGTGGACCGGTAAATCGTTGTCGCTTACGAGTGGCGTTGAGATTCGAACCCATGACCTTTAGTCTAGCTCTGATACCAAATTGAAACATGTGCTCCATCTCAACTAAAAGCCTAAGCTGATAGTTGGATTGCACGTTAATGGCTATATGCTCACAAGTAACAACTTAAAATGCACTTTATAACAACTAAAAATGCACTCCTGTGTTAAAAGATATACAGTAAAATTGATGATAATTACGAAATGCCACAATATATTTTTTTAAAATTTAATTTGATCCGTTCGATTTTTCCAAATGTAAGGCTAGGATTAGTTCTTAGCTTTCTCTTAAGGATTAGTTCTCATTTTATCCAATACCTATACACACACACACACACGTATTGCATCAAGTGAGAATGTGCTGCAAACGTTCAAATACAAAAATACATTATATTGTGCAAAACTATAAAGTGTACATATTGAATTGTACTTCTACACATATCATCGGATGCACTTTGTAATTTTGTGTAGTGTACATCAACACAATGGTAGTTGAGTGCATGTTCTCATATGGTCCATCTCCTATGTTTAATCCCCTCCCCTCCCCAAAATTAGGTAATACAAATTTGTTCTCAATTTATGTCAAATTGTTTAATAAGCACTCAAATCAAATGAAAAATGAAAATTTAAAATTATGAGAATAGTATGCATATATACCATGTCAAAGAGGCTTGCACGACGCTTCTTGTGGTTGAGGCTTGCTAGTCTAAGAAAATACTTTTGAGCATGGCTAGCAACTTGGGTTGGAGTCCTTGTACTTACAAACTTTCTTGAAATTCCTCTCCAATCTCCCTTTCCTAGTTTTTCTAGTCCATTCATGAAGTTTCTGTGCTCCTTTTCTGTCCATGGAACTCCTATATAAAATTCCAAAATTAATAATATAAAGGTTGAGAACAAAAAAAAACAAAAAAAACAAAAAAAAAAAAAAAACAAAAAAAAAAACAAAAAAAAAAAAAAAAAAACAAAAAACAAAACAAAACAAAACAAAAAAAAAAAAACAAACAAAAAAAAAAAAAAAAAAAAACAAAAAAAACAAAACAAAAAAAAAAAACAAAATGAATTTGAATAATACTACCTTTCCTCTTCTCCTGAGCTTTGCCAATGAGACCATCAGAGAGATATCCATTAATGGATGTTTTTATTTCACAGTTTTCATGAACAGAAACTAGCGTGGAAGAGTGGGGAGATGAAGAAGGAGAAGAAGAGAGGCAATCCAAGCTCAAACTTTTCTTCATTGCAATAGAAGAGTTGGTTGAAGAAGAAGAAGGAGAAGAGCATAGAGAAGAAGAAGAAGAGATTTCAAGCTGAACTCCAAACAACCTTAATCCTCCAACAACAACATTATTATTAGTGTTACTAATAATACAACCTTTGACAGTGGTGCACGTTCTTGAATTGTGACCTGTGATCCCACATTTTGAACACTTTCTGCCCATTTTCACACAGACAAAGATCTGCAGAGAGCTTACCTTAGCTTCCTAAATTGCAAAACCAGAAAATGAAGGAAATGAGCTTTGAGGAATTAATGGGGTGTGGGAGAGGGAGGGAGGGGGTAGGGCTGGTTATTTACATTTATAGAAGGATTTCTTGTATATGTAGTACTCTCAAATCTTATTTTCAATTCTACTTCCTGATGTGACGGGCTCAGTTATTTTTTTATGTGAATTCCAATACAAGTGTCTACATTAATATATTTTTTATGTGGATCCCAATATAAGTGTCTATTTCAATATTTTGTGTATAAGAATAAAAGTTGGGAGTATAAAGGGAAAGTACACAGTATTTCTCTTATAGAAGTGGGGTAATGAAAATGGATGGCATATATTGGCAACTAGAGAAGATATGATTGGTTGGATGGAAATTAATTGTTTTTTGTTGGATATTTTTGCCCAACTTGGTTCCTAGCTCATAAGAGAAATGCTATTTCAATTCTTGACTAAAGGACAAGGAAACAAATGAAAAGAAAAATCGTCTTATCTCATAGAAGATTAGTATGAAAATAAAATTCTTGACGTTTGTATGATGAGTGTCTGAGTTTCAATTCCAATCTTAGCCAATTTCAGGATCAAACGAAAAAGGGAACAAAATGATCGAATATGTCATCTTATTCTTATCAAAAGCAAGATTCACTATATCGATTGAAAATTGTGCAATTAAAACCATAAATTCTTATTCCCAAAAAAAAACCATAACAGGGCGTTTGGTTGGAGGGAGGGAATTATGTGAGAAAAGAATTGTAATTCTATGGGAGTTGAATTACTGGGAATAAAGTGAGAATTTAAATTCCAGTGTTTGGTTGACAGGAATAGAATTACTGAAAATTTCAATTCCAATGTTTGGTATACATGGGAATTTAAAGGGAATAAGTAGTATAAAGTCAAAAATGTCTATTATTGTTGTTAGACATTAATTTTAAGTTAAAAAAGGAAGGGGTAATTTTGACTCATCACTATATTTTTTTCCCCGGAATTAAAATCCCAGGGGACATGGGATTTTAATTCCATGAAAATGGGGGAATTGCAATTCCCTCCAATCAAACTACGGAATTTAATAGCCTTTGGAATTAGGTGGGAATTAAGTGGGAAGAGAATTTAAAATCCCTCCAACCAAACACCCTGTAAATTTTTATTCTAAAAAAAATAACCATAAATTCTTAGGGTGTGTTTGGTTGCACATAAAAATCATAATCAGAATGAGAATTAAATACTTGGTAATTGTATGAGTTTTGGTGAAAGTATTTTACATATTTGGTAGTAGGGTGGAATTGGAATAATTACCAATATTGATGTTGGTTATGTATGACCCTATAATGGGAATAAAGTTTTTAAAAATATAAAAACAAAAAATCAAGACAATTGATCTTAATATATAATTACATTCAAAGTATCTGACAGGATAACGGTGCTGGCACCCGACCCGGATCATAAGCAGCATCTGACCCGACACCACATGGAAACCCAACGGGCAAAACTCCAACGGGCAGAATTCCAACGGCTGTCACCTTTACTGCCATTGAAGCCACCATTGATGTCACCATTGATGAGAGAGAATTAAAGGCTTAGCTCTCCATTTATGCTTCATGTTGTTATGGTTAGCAGCTTTTGTATAAGTAGGGACTCCCCTCAGCTTGGAGGGGGACGTTCAATACTCTGGACAAAGACACAGTACTTTCTATACTGAGACAAAAGGCAATACAACTATTGTTACTCTCTTATAGCATTATTATATTATTATTACCGGTAATGTTATTACAGTCAGTATCAATATGAACCAAAAAAAATAAAAAAAAAATCTATAAGTACTAATACAAACTTAAAAATCATATTACCAATAATATTGAATGATACCTTTTTAATTAGGGAATGGGGTTTTTAATTAAAGGAGTAATCAAATCTCATAGTTGTATTTTAAAAAGTTGTCAACCGAACACTAACTATGATTTTGATTACTATTCCTAGTGTGTAAACCCATGAACCAAACACACCCTTAATTTTGTGCAATTAAATTTCAATATTGATAAATTTCTTGCAATTATTTTTAAAAATTAGATGTCAATTATGACAAAAGGATAACAATTTCTTTAAATATTTCCATACTAAAAAAAGATTAATACACATCAATTCTGAGTGCCCCATTGCCCTTACCCTAGAGTATTAGTCATCAAATTGAGTTGTGTCTTGGGACACTATCTCCCACATTAGGCTAGCTAGTTATGAAAAATATTATGTGTACTCTTATTTTTTACTCTCAACTTATATTCTCACACATAACATATTGATGGAGATATTTGTATTGGGACTCAGATGAAAAAAGTAACTTATTAAAATGCGTCACATCAAAAAATAAAATTTAAGGAGTAAGATTTGGGAGTCTAGGTAGTAGAATTTGCTAGTTATTGATGCCTAGCTACCTGGTGAAGAATAAGTTTACTAGAGCTCTGCCAAGTCAATATATTTAAAACCTCATATGTGGCTTGACAAAATGAAATTAGTCTAAGTTTGATTGACTCGCATTGAGAGCCGCATTTATTTCTTTTTTTTTTTTAATTTTATTTTTTTGTTTGAACCGATTAATTATAGGCAAATTAAGCTGATTTATTACCTTGTGTTTCTTTGCTGGTTAGTGTCACAAGATAAGGTTTACTTAATACATACTTTTAGATAGTGATTACAAGTGTGTAGAGTAAATTAATATCATGCTTGCCTTGTAAAAAGAATCAGACCAAATATATCATATAGTTATCAAAAGTAATTTAATATTATGAAAATTAGTTTAATGTTATCTTGTATGACCATCGTCATTATCATCCAAGTCACCCTGTTCAGCAAAGTGAGAACAATTTTCGTTATCCATATTGTTGGTCTCTCTAAAACGACTAAAAATATATTCCAATTTCCTCACTATCAAGCAATTATTTGCATAAAAAAATATCGCATTTGGACTGCTCGAGATATGCTACAAATTAAATAGTACAAAGATATAGACACTTCTCTCCTAGCTTTGCTTTTGTCTACGTCGTCTACAAATATTTCAAATAACAATCACTTATCTTATAAACTTGTATTAAAATTGATCAATTAATATAAACAATTGTCACAAACTAGATCATAGATAATGCTATTTTCATAAATAAATAAATAAATAAAAATCACTAAGTTTTATTCAAAATCAGATGATTTTGTCCATTTAAAATTTGTAAAAAATTGAATTAATAAAGTCAATCATCAATAATTAAAATTTTGATATTGATTACAAAATAAGGTTAATTTTGCTGCCTTACTTTTTTTTTTTTCTTCTAGAATTTGATGCATAGAAGATCTTGTAATTATTTTAACATTATATTGGACTTATCTTCATAACTTGTAGAAAACAATAATATCCATTTGTTTCACATCCGTATTCATCTAATCCTTAAACCATAATTAAGCATCATTGTCCCACAAACGAAATCATCTTTCTGCAAATATGATAATGTAAATAATTATTTTTTTAATCATAAGCCTTCGCCGCACACCTTATCCTCAGCCACCTTATCTTTATTCAATTAAGGTAAATAATATTTATTATTCGATTAATTATATATTCAACGGTCTATTTTTATAAGTTTGGAAAATGTTATTCTAGAAAGAGAGGTCAGATTACAGATGTTTTAAGCCACTACTAGAAAGATCTTGTACAACATATTCTATCGAAAGAGTGTTAGAATAAATCAAATTTACACTTTCAGATATAAGAATCATGCTCCGTCCGTTCAACCACTCGTTCTAAAGCATAACAATACGTAAATTTTAATACAGTAAAAATGTATTTTTTGGTCACTCGTAAACTCTAGTAATTTTATTTCATAATTTCAACCGTACCAGTTAAATAAAAAAAAAAAACAAAAAACAAAAAGAACAGTGCTACCCTTGAGCAAGGAATTATAGACATTCATTGCAATTATTTATAATCCATACATTGCAAAGAATTTATGAAATAATGCCTAAATCAAAGGGACTAAAGCAACATACCTTGTTGTAGGAATAGGGGAAGAATATATGCTTTTGAAGCTACACTTCTAGAGAGAAATTGAGAGAAAATGCAAGTACTCTCATACCTTGACTTGCCCACAAGCTAAGCTATTTTGACCAAGAATTGGAGGTGGAAGAGTTTTAAGCAGAAGAAAGGCCACTGCTCGGGTCTATAGGGATGCTCATATGAGCCAAGTACGTACGTGCATACTGGCTTCGTACGAGGCTCTACATATCGGTCTTCAGGGTCGGTTTTTAGATTTTGGTGGTCCCGTTCTAGTAAATAAATGGGGCCTACCAAAATCATAATCTTTAAAATCAGTACAGTATTTTTTTAATAATAAGGTGATAAAATGTTATTGTGCGCAAAGAAAAAAAACAAAACAAAAAACATATTATGGAATAAATTACAATAATAATAATAATAATAATAATAATAATAATAATAATAATAATAATAATAATAATAATAATAATAATAATAATAATAGTGTGCGCAACTCGGAATGCAAAAAGATTAAAAAAAATGTTCAAAGTTAAAATAGCACTCAAGTTTCGAACCTCTGACCTCCAAATTAAAATACAATAAACACATATTCCTACCATTCCTCCATAGAACCTTTAAAGTTTAATTGAAAACTTTTAGTTTTTATTTCTAAACTAGCTAGGTAAAAATTAAATATTGAATCCTCTAAAATTTGAGGGCCTGTGCGGTAGCCCAGTTTGCATAGCCTAAAATCCGGCCCTGATCGGTCTCAAGCTATTGAGCAAACAGGCTGTTAGGAATAATTGTATAGATTTTGACGAGGTAAGATGTAATTTTAAACTCTTATTTTTTTTTAAAGGTAATTTTATTTTATAATAGCCAAGAAAATTAGTCCAATGAAAATATTTTGAGTCAATCAAAAGATGAACAATGAAGAAGAAATTTGCAGCTGTTAACGTTGAAGGAAAATATTGAGCAAAGGAAATTATTGAGCTAAGCTTTCCAAAAGCAAAGGAATGAGCTAAGGAATTATTATGAGTCAAGGTTTCAAAGATGAGA